TGATAAGGCAAATTCCACTCTGTTATTCCTTTAAGTCCTAGCGGTCCAATACCTTTTGCCCATCCCATAATTGTTCATACTACCCCCTCTGTAGCCTGATCGTGTGGTACTTACCATGGGTACAAATCAGTTGATGCGTCGACAGTAGATCGACTCCTTAAGGTAGATCGCGTATCGGAATCCTTGGGGGTAGATCGCGTATCAAAATGATTGCACCATGACGATCGACTCAGACGATTGTGCAATCTTCGCAGCTGATGGCGTAATCACTTGATGCACCGTCGTCAACGACGAGGCCCGAGACTGGATCGAGTCAAATCCCATCAATCAGTCCCTTGCGCCCAGACGTCAACTGTCGCGTCACCACAATTGCCCCCTGAGTTAGAGTCCACAAGTCAAACTGTCGCGCTTGACTCACCGGTCCTCGCTTTTCATTACAGCTTCTCTACTTGCGCCGATGTCCACTCCTGTGGTGCGCCCTCGCCGTCATGTTTTCTCGTACGTTTGCTTCCAGAGGCGGTTAATCATACGCTCCTCACCGCTAACTCACGTTTGCCGTAGGCTGCAGCTCTTTCGTCGATCTCACATCTTCTCCTCGCTCCTCTACCCAGTCTACCGCGCACGGCGGCTAAGCCACAGCGTCGACTGTCGACCTGGCTGATCCCTCACAAAATTTCGCCGACGTGCGCGCTTCGCTGATGGTTTGCAACGGGCCATCGATCAGACCGAGGCATTATGTGAGCTACGCCAAGATCACGAGGTTCTGCGCCGCGAATTTCTGTCCACACGACGTCGCGTGGAAGACTTGGATCGGCAGCTCGCTGACGCGGCCGATGCGGCTTCGCCGTGTTGCTCTTCTGTAAGCACAAAAAACGACGTGGTCCATCACAAGCTGGAATCTACTCGGACGGAGCTCGCCGAGTGCATGACTGCGTTGTAGGAGCGTCTCGACAACTCCTGCGAGCTCGAGGCTTGCCGCCTTCGGTATCGTGATTTGAAGCTTCGCTAGGACGAAACGGTTTCTGAGTTCCAAGGCCGGGTCTCCACTGTGGAGGCGCAATTGGCCGCTGCCTCTTCCTTTGGGGTGATCGTTCCACCCGATATAGCCCGCCATATAGCCGATCTGGAGTCCCCCACTCGCGCGGTCCCATTCCGACTTGCAAGTTGCACGTGATCGCCAGGCCTCGCTAGCCCTGGAACTCCGTGAATTGGCCACTTCTCACAACTCTGCGCAGGCGGAGGTAGCTCGCCTCGAGGCTGTGGTAGAGCGCAAGACCCGTCGCTTCCGTGCTTTGCGCGAAGGCTACGAGCGTCTTTTGAACGTGGCCTACAACACAATCGCTGCGCACTCTGCCGAGCTTATTCGCTTACAGGGCCGGTTCTCGACTTTGGATCAAGATGTTCGGCAAGCTTCACAGCGCGTTCGCGCGGCGATCACTCAGCGTGACCAAGCCAGAGCAGAGCGCAGCGCAACCCGTAGGTACCGCCCAAATGCCCCTGTCGGAGCCATACTAAGTCGTTTCTTGGCCCACAGAGGATCGTGTTTCAGCGGCTCGGGACACCATTGCCCGGCTGGAGAAACGGATTAACCAAGTCGAGAAATCCCAGAAGTCGCGTCAACTTGAGACCACGCTCGCGATCCTTCGACAAGAGAGGGACAGCATGGTAGTTTAAAACGATGAATTGCTCGGCCAGCTTGGCGAGCGTCTCGGGGAGATTACTGATCTTCGGGCCGAATGGGATCAAGCGCAAGAGGGGCTGTCGACCATCGCGTCTCTACTCCATTCGGCTCCGAGTCACAAGCGTGCCCGTTTCCGAGTTCAATACCCCGGTCCGGTCTACGCGCTCCTCCAAGACCGCCCGATCGATCTCAGGTTCTTTTCCCGCCAGTGCTTCGACTCAGAGTCCGGCACCTAGATCCTCGATCGAGGTACTGTCTGCCGTAGCTGCTGGCCAGAGTGCTGGGGAACCGGCGGTATCTCTTTCGCCGGCTGCCCCTGGTGTTACATCTGAAGTGACGCCTCCTCGATTCACTCGTCGCCAATCCAGCGTCACTTCTGATCCCTCCGCTGGCCTCCCCGATCGGCCTGCTTGATCTACCCGATCGTCCGGGCCGCCCGCCAGAGGTAGCAACAGAGTCGCGCGATCATCTCCTGCGGCGTCTGAGTTGGGTGCGCCTTCTGACGACGACGATAGTTCGTCCAACAATCCATCTCTACCTGCGTTCTCGATTTGGGTACCGCAGAGGGCGGCAACGACTCTCCGAGGTCGTCGAGTCGCAATCGGGAGCGGTTTGGACAGCCATCCGGTCCTCTTTCGAACGCTGAGCTAGCTGACCTGCCGCATACCCGGGTTTCCCGAGCGGAGTGGATCCCCGGTTATCGTGATCGCCGCGTCTTCCAAGGCCACGATGTCGTCCCCTGGTCTGCACAGGACATTCGCCAAACGAGTATCGTGGAGATGGATGTGGATCTACTATTCCACCGTTTCGCCAAATTCTCCGCGAACCCACGCCTCCGTTTGGAGAGTGGCGAGATGATCTAGTGGACAAGAGCAACGTACGCGAGTTGATCGAGTCTGCTCCTTGGAAAGTCCTCGCTGCTAGGGTTGATACTCTCACGTTTCGGGGTCGGGGTTGGCACGGACACATGATGCAAATCTACGCAACTTATGAAGATGAGCACCTTCGGGCTTATTGGGCCTCCACTCACGCCTTCCCGGTGAGCATCGCCATGCGTCGTGCCTTTCGATACTTGGAGGCATTCTACACCGAACGCAAGCAGTGTCGATCCAAAGCCGGCGCCCGGTGGAAGTTGTAATGGGCCCGCTGTGTGCTCACTACTTCGGCTTACACGTTAGCGCACGTGTATGAGGAAGCGTAATTTGCTTAAACTTAGATTAACTAAACTTACGTCTCGTAAGGATAGATTTACTTAAATAAG